AATGGGGAGCAAAATTTATATGTGATATCTATGACAGTGGTGTTACCGATTGAAGGGGTGAGACTGGAAAAATCGTTCATTTGATTTTTAAGGACCACCCTAATGACCATACGTTTATACCTTACATATAAATTAAATTTTAGCAGAAAGGAAAAGGAAGCCATAAAATTCAATTTATGTATATAAAATAACCTAAGGAATCTCAGTCCTACAATTCTTTCCAAAAATAAAATATGAAATTGTAGATATTATGTAATAACAAAGCAGATGGTAGGTGCAAGATACGCACTTGTGGTTAATCAACTTTCTGAAAAATTGTAGTTTATTTTACTTTTTTAAAAATAGAACGCAGCTGTAAAGTTGTGATTCGGAATTGTCTAAAATTGTAAATAATTTTCAACGTAACTTGAAAGCTATGTAGGTAGATTTATAATCAAAATAATCGTGATTATATCGAGGCTGTAATATGTGGTCAAGTGATCCCGAAAGCGAAAACCAAAAAGCTCCTGCTGTGTGTCGCTATAGGAAGAGAATTAAGACCTTAACCAGTCACCGACAAGACGTACTTTCGTACAAGGACCACGTCACCGTCATGTCGTCGCCTCAGAAAACGGATGACGAATGTGCAAAATGACGATTTTGGGATTTTGATGCAGATTTACTAAGTTGGACATGCTCTTTCAATTTCTGCAATCCATTTTTTTATATCTCCATTAGTTTTTGAGATATTTCGTGCGCATTTTGTCGTATGTTACATAATATTAATGATTGGGTATGCCTTTTGTTGTATGTGCTGAAAATGCGTCACATACGAAAAAATTCCCATACAGACGTACCTTTTTTTTAATCATAAAACATTTGTCGTATGTATCGCAAAACTTTGAACTTACGACAATTCGATGGTCCTCTACTATAACGATACAATTAAAATTGAAAATTAAACTAAGTGACTAATTTTAAAATTTTAAATTTTTAAATTTTAGCTTGCACTGAGTCTCCAATGAAATGAAAGAAATAAAAATGTACAAAAGACTGAATTTAAGTATTGTTTTTTGTTTTTA